TATCGCGATATATATTGATATCGAATTATTGTCCAGCCCTACTGCATCCTAAGTCACGCACTTGTGAAAGCCTTGCAAAGTCATGAATCAATAACTAAACCTGCCCAAATAAATTGCGTCTAATTGATGTAAGTATGTAGTAGCATTGCACTTATTGTGAAATACGCACACTGTTCAGCTAAATTCATATTAATAGTGATCTCTTTGCATCACTGTAACCACATTATATATGAAAAGCTTAATGAAGAGGGAACCTTTCTTTTTATGCCGTATATCTTTGAAGCCTGTGAGGGTACTATACTTTTTCCTTAACAATGGGAATGTCTTTGTGTGTGTCTACAATGACTGAAACATACAATTCATGAATCAAAAAAATGATGCTGATGTTGATAATAATAATAATAATAATAGCAAAAATGTAAGAATGTAAAATGTGTAAGAATGGTTCCCAGTTTTTCTCAAATGGTAGTATGTTATTTTTATGAAAGCCTGTAATTTTTCCATGGATATGTATTCCATCATTAGATTAGTCCATTATTTAAATTAAGTTTTTGGATTTGCAGTTTTGAAGAATTGCTTTTTTGCCGGTAGTTGGAGAAATAAGTATATTATTCTTGTATATGGTCAGGGTGTTTAACTGTGTAAAATCTCCAAGCAGACAAGGTCAGGGAGAGGGGGGGGATTCTGCAGCTTAGGGTGGACGTGAGTTTTTTAGTGATGGCTGCCCAAAAAGTGTGAGCAGGTATACAGACCCACAGAGCATGCAGATAATTGTCTGTGACACCAGGGTTCACAGTGCTGACTAATCCCAATTTATACTTTTTATATTGAGTGAATTGTGTTCTATGAATTCTATGAAATGGGAATTTGATATTTGCACAAATATGATCAAATGAATGGAAAACAATGAAATGTTTAAACGTGTTTCTGTAACAGTGACCAGCAGGATTCATCTGACTCAGACAGCTGTATCTCATTCAAAAGTGATCACTCCATGGAACCTCCATGGAACCTCCTCAAATTCAGGTTGTATTACTGGTTTGTGATAGAGCTACATTTCACTTCCAAAGTGATAGCTTAGTCCTTACCTGAAATGGGAACTTGATATTTACACAAATATGATCAAATGAATGGAAAACAATGAAATGTTTAAACGTGTTTCTGTAACAGTGACCAGCAGGATGGGTTGTTAAACCTATAGTGAGACGATGGGATTAACTGAAAAGTCTGTTGACTTGCAGCTCATCAAAGACGGGAGTCTTGCCCAAGAAGGTGCAGAAGGTTTGCATTTTGGATTCTGTGTTTCCTTCTTTGCCATCTATGCACCTCTGAACAATCATATTATAATTTGATATTTTTCAAAACATCCTTTGCCAAACATGACAGCACAGAGGCTTGTCGTGCACCCTCGTGTCCCCTGGCTCTCGGTTCAGTTCCAGCCTTGTCTCTGTTTTTCTGTTCTCTCTGCGTGTGGGATGGCCGTTGCTGAGAAGATGGAGAACGTCCCGAAAAGTTCTGTTATCCCAGAGGAGGTGAACCAGCAGGGTCTTGAAGAGTCCTTGGAAATAGGGCAGGAAAACAGTAAGAGTTATCTTTCGAAAAATCAAAGCAATATCGTATAGTCATCCTGACCCAGTCACAAATGCCCCATTTTTTTTTTTTTTTTTTTCAGCAGTTCAGGCCATAAAGGATGCCCAACAGAACCTGAAATCCTGTCTGAAAAAAACATTTCAACATATATTTGAAGGGATTGCAAAACAAGGAAATCCATCCAGCCTTAAGGATATCTATACAGAGCTCTACATTACAGAAGGTGGAAAAGAAGAGCTTATGAATGAAGAGGGAATTAGTCAATATGAGACAAAAATTAATTGTAACGATCTGTTTAAACCCTTATATGGACAAGAGAAACATTTTAGAACTGTGATATCAATAGGAATAGCTGGAATTGGAAAAACAGTCTCTGTGCAGAAATTCATCCTTGACTGGGCAGAAGGGGAAGCTAATCAGGATGTTCATTTCATGTTTCCACTAAAATTCCGTGACCTTAATTTAGAAAAAGGTAATGAGTACAGCCTTATTGAACTTCTTCATCACTACTTTCCAGATCTAAGTGAAACTGCAGACAATCAACTCAGTAGACTCAAAGTTGTTTTAATTTTGGATGGTCTGGATGAATGTCGACTTCCTCTAGATTTCCAAAACAATGAGATCTGCTGTGACGTAACAAAGAGAACATCGCTGGATGTTTTGCTAACCAACCTCATTAAGGGAAATCTCCTTCACTCTGCTAACCTCTGGATAACCTCCCGGCTAGCAGCAAGCAGTCAGATACCTCCTGAATGTGTCCACCGGGTGACAGAAATAAGGGGCTTTGAAGAACCACAGAAGGAGCTGTACTTCAGGAGGAGACTCAGAGATGAAAATCTGGCTAACAGCATTATAAGACATATAAAAAAATCGAGGAACCTCTACACCATGTGTCACATACCAGTCTTCTGCTGGATTTCAGCGACTGTTCTTGAGCACATGTTGGCTTATAAAGACTGTACTGAAATCCCCACAACTCTGACAGAAATGTATATACATTTCCTGCTCATTCAGATGCACCGAAAGAGTAAGAAGTATGATGGGACCAATGAGACAAACCGAGTGAAACTGCTACAGTCTAACAAAGAGATGATCCTGAAACTTGCAGAGCTGGCATTTAAACAGCTGGGGGAAGGACATTTAGTATTTTACGCAGAGGACTTCAAAGACTGTGGTGTTGATGTCATTGAGGCTTCAGGATACTCTGGGATGTGTACAGAATTCTTTAGGGAAGAGGATGTGGTACTACTAATGAAAGTGTACAGCTTTGTACACCTGAGTGTTCAGGAGTTTATGGCTGCTTTGTATGTGTTTCATGTTTATAGACACAGCAACAGAAATCTGCTTGAAAAATGTGGAGCTGTGACATCCAAAGCAGGACCACTGACTGACTTGCTCAAGAGTGCAATAGATCGGGCCTTGGAAAGTGAAAGTGGTCATCTGGACCTTTTTCTTCGCTTCCTCCTTGGTATCTCACTGGACTCTAATCAGAGACTATTACAAGGCCTTCTGACAGGGACTGAGAGCAGCTCACTAAATGCTAATGTGACAGTTGAGTACATTGAGGGGAAAATCAAGAACGCCGATTCTCCGAAGATGTTTATCAACCTGTTCTATTGTTTGAATGAACTACAGGACAACTCTATTGTGTATAAAGTCCAAAATTACCTCAGTTCTGGCAGCATCTCAAGAGAAAAGCTTTCAAGTGTTTATTGGTCAGCTCTGGTCTTTGTGTTGCTGACGTCAGAGGAAGTAGAGGATGAGTTTGACCTGAAGAAATATGTCAGATCGGAACATGCATTACTGAGGTTGCTTCCAGTTGCCAAGCTGTCCCGAGTAGCCCTGTAAGTATTGTATTTCTTAAAACAGTTTTACAAATACTTACTTTAATACTTGTCACATACATTTGGACTTTGATTAGTTGGTTAGCATATGGCAGGGTTCTTCAAATCTGGACCTCGATTCCAAATCCAGGCCTTGTTTTCATTTCTCCCAGGTAGTTAGTTTAATAATTACTGATTCTGATTGGTCAGAGGCTTCACACCTGACTCACAGGTAAAGGAAGGCTGGAAAACCAGCAGAGCTGATTTCAATAACCCTGTCATATGGTATTACCCATAGATTTTGTTATGGATACCTTTCCCCATGTTGATGAAATTAGCCATACCTGTATTTGTCGTATAAGTTGTTGCTTATATATTTGTAGCATGAGCTGCCCATGTTTTATAGAACTTTGGAAATTAATGTTAAAATTGAAATACTTCCTGTTTCAGGTTGAACCAGTGCAGACTCACAGTGAGCTGTTGTGAAGCACTGGCTTCAGTCCTAGCTTTAAAATCCTCACACTGGACACACTTGGATCTGAGCTACAATGACCTGCAGGACTCAGGACTGCAATTACTCGCAGCTGGACTGATGAATCGAGACTGTAAACTGAAAATTCTGAGGTGAACACTACTCCACTGTCAATGGCCATATTGAAAATGATATAACAGTTCTTGAAATTGATATTTTAACAAAATTAAACTCACTTTTTAATCTATAGCTAATAACTTTAAAAGATAAACCTGTAAAAAGTAAAACCTGTGTAAATTGTATATTTAAATGTGAATCTGAAAACACAAGTAAAGAAATACATATCGCTCGTCAAAAATACTTATGCTGAACTGCCCTTATATCCCCAAATTAATAATCCCATTTTGGACAATGTACAGTCATTGACAAAAGTCTTGTCACATAAGGACATAGT